CAGTCCTGGTCTTCTTCCCCTCAGTAAATTATAGCACCAATTTATGGAAATCTCAGAAGGTTCAAAATCAGGATCCCTGCCCCTCAACCCCTGTGTAAGCAATACCATCACCAACTAGGTATAGGGCCCAGAGAAGTACTTTTTAACTGTTGTGTCTAAGCACACAGCCTCCCTTTAATTCTAGAGTCATTTTCAGTTTGAGATGTTGTATTTGCCACTCTGTCGTGGCTGTCCTTCCAGTCACTATAACTTCATCCAGATGGAGCCTAACCCCAATTCCATTTGGTACTTCATGCTTTCTCTTCTTACTCAATATAGTTTCCACAGTCCATGGTCGGTGATAGGTTATGTTGGGGGTTTTGGGTTGTTTTATTGTAAATCTCAAGCCCTTCTCCAGACTTCCTGAACCAACATCTGCATTCAAACACATGAACCCTGGGTGGTTGGTACCAACACTTTGAGGCACTGTGGAACTGGACTCCTTGAAAAGAAGTTTGCTAAAAGTGTTTCATTAACCTTGTTGTTGGGAAGAGGAGGTTCTGTCTAGAAGGTAGCAATATAAAAAACTTGAAATACCTGCTTTCTTGATATATGCATACATATAAGAGAATAGCACACTGTATGGAATCTATTTCTGCACAGAAAGCCATTCCTTCAGAAAGGCGTTAGATAAGACTAGCTTTGCAATTCATTCTTCTGATTATTAAGATGGAGCACTATGCCACACCCTGGTTAAAAAGACATAAGCAGAGTAATGGAGATTACTCTTCTAAAGCAGTGTTTGCTGTATAAGTGAACATAGGGGCCTGGATTCAGGTACGTAGCATCCACATAAAGCATGGGCCACATGACATGCACTTGTCATCCCAGTGCTGGGGAGGCGGATACAGGAAGATGCTCGGAATATGTGGCAAGCCAGACTAGGCTAAATTGGTAAACTTCAGGTTCAGTGAGAGACCATGTCAAAAATATAGTAGCGGGACCAAGATACTTGACATCTATCTCTCCCTTACACTTACACTTACACACACACACACACTTATACACGAACATATACAACAAGTCGCACCCAAAAGACAAGCAAAATATTCATACTTTTTTACTGGAATCTATAGTAATTCTAAATGAGAGTCTAGAGTGAGAAATTCTCATGATAAATAGAAGATCTATCTCCTTCATCTTGTGTCTTCCAAGGTCTACAACAATGAAGTAAATAGTCAACAAATGTTCTTAAATTAAAATCACAGTAGTAAAACTCATGAACAAGGCTTGACTAATATTTTGCGATTGTTTGAACTGTTTGGATGAAGCCCATCAGAAAGCTGAGAAAAGTGTGGTTAGGTTTTTAATTTATTCTGCTTCTTCTTACACTATCAAAGTCTGAGCAGTTTGTCAGGTTTTGTTTATAGCACGTAACTTTCCTAAAGCAATGCATTCATGTTTCTCATTATGCTTGAATAGTATTTGGTTAAATATGGTCTACACTGCTGTCTACCTAACAGAGAGAAATGATTTTAGCAGGAAAAAAATCAAGATGTGTGATTGGAACACATTCTCTCCTCTCTCTCTCTCCCTCTCTCTCTCTCTCTCTCTCTCTCTCTCTCTCTCTCTCTCTCTCTCTCTCTCTCACACACACACACACACACACACATGCACATCCCATTTTGTTTTTGGCCTTTGTTTCAAGATATTTGTATCTGAGAAGGGATTTCTAGACGACAATCTTTTGACTGAGTAGCTGCAAGCAGGGCTCTACTCTGTCTTATCTTTAATTCCTCACAAGTTAAACAGAAAGATGGAAGATAATTTGGCTCCAATAGTGACTTGAAAATGCCTGCCTAGAAAAAAATTGGCCAGAAAATGAAAAGCTCTGGGAAAAATCAGAGTTGGAAGGAAACTTAGGTAAAGTCTAGTTTTGTTAGAAAAAGCCTGGTGTGGGCGGGCGGTGGGAGGGGGAGGGGCAAGCTCACCTCCACTTTCTGACAAGGAGAAAGAAACAGAAGGGCAGAGACAGCTTCCCCAAGCCAGTTGGGTTTTAATGGACTACTACAAGCCTTTAGCTTGTATGAAAGGTCCTTTAGTGAAAGCTCTAATAGAACCCCCTCCTTTCCGTAGTCCCATTTGTACGTGTGAGATGTTTGTGTGTTTGCATGTGTGTGAACACATGTGTCTGCAGGTGCATATGCACATGTGTGTGGAGGCCAGAGGTTGACATCAGATGCCTTCCTCTCTCACTCTCAACCTTATATATCACTTGAACCCAGAGCTGACCGACTTGGCTTGTGTAGCCAGCCGGCTTGCTCCAGGAGTCCCGTCTCTGCCTCCTGAGCATTGGGATTACAGGTGGGCCCATTACACCTGTGTGAGGATCCTTGTGTTTACATGGCAAATACTTTACACACATCCATCTCTCCAGCCTCCTCTCTTCCTTCCTTCCTTCTTTCCTTCCTTCTTTCCTTCCTTCTTCCTACCCATTTCCCCTTTCCTATGTCTCTTCATTTTTTTTTTTTTAACTAGGCGAGTGCCTTCCACCAGCCCTGGATTTTCATGTTGATTACCCAGGTATATAACAAAAGCCAAAGGTAGGTGATAACTGTCTGCAGCATTCCGAACATTTTGTTCTTTCATCTATTCATTTTCACATTACTCTGTCCCACTGGCTGACTTTGTCTCCCAGCTCTGTCAACCACTGACCTTTTCTGAGGTCTCTGTGCATGGGGTGTGTTTATTTCCCTCTGAAGTTCTGCTCTCTCTCACTCACGTATTTTGAAAGTCCCTTGTAAAGAGCTTGTGTGGTCAGGAATGGTGTCTCTTTCTAGTGAATTTCTCTTGCCATCACTGTGAGGTCGTCCACAACTTTCTTTGCTCTTCAGCAGCCTTTGCCTTATCCCGGCTTGGCATTTATTTATTTAGGGTTTGCAGACACAGATCTTATATTTTGACTTTCAATCTGTTTTCAGGTTGAGACCATGCTTCTATTGAAATGACATCTGTAGCCAGCATATAGCTCAGTCCCTTTTTAAAATCTGTGGATCCCTGTCTTTCAGATGGTTTATGCTGTGGTTAATTTTTAAGAAGAATTTTGATGTTATTGCATTTAAATATGTTTGTTTGCTTTCTGCTTGATGTCTCTGTTCTCCTTGGCTTTTACTTCGTTTCAGTTATTTGAATGTTTTATATGTCATTGCAATTTTTCTATTGTATGTTTGACTATATCTTTTTGTGGCATACTTGTCTTTAGCAGTTGTTTGAACTAGTAATAAGAACCAAACTTTAATAGCAAATAAGACCATCTTTAGCATTGCTGGTGGGATGAGGCTTTCTTACCACTGCATAGAATCCTTTACCCTCCCTCTCCCATTACGGTTGTGCTATTCTGTAGTAATAATTGGCTTTCAGTGTCATCTTGCCAGAGTCTGGGATCAGCTTGGAAGATAAGGTTGGTTGAAAAGTTACCTAGGTCAGTTGGTTTGTGGCATGTCTGTGAGGGGTTGTCTTACTTGTTAATTGACATAGGAAGGTCCACCCTGAAAGTGGGTGGCTCCGTTTTCTGGGCTGGTCCCTGAACTGTGTTAGGAAAAGGAACTGGGCATCAGTTAAAGTATGCAGACAGCATGGATGCTTTCCTTTCTATTGGCCCCTATGTGATATGACAGCTGCTTAGTGTCCTGCCTTTGTTTCCCCCACAGTAGTGGACCATACCCTGAAGCTATGAGCTAGACAAATTCTCCCTCCCCTAACTTTGCTTTGGGCTGGGGTGTTTGTCACAGCAACAGAAAGAAACCAGGACACTTTCTATTATGTTCATATGTTTTGAAGCTATGATTTGTCTGCAGGTGGCATTTCCAGAGAGGATTGTCACATGTGACAGTAACAGGTGTGTGTGGGCACCTATCCTGAATCAGGGCAGCACCTTCCAGTGGTTCATAGGAGAGGGGAACTGGATGCAAGAAAAAGGGGCCAGCAGACACCTTTCTTCCTCAGTGTTTCTGTGCATCCACTGCCAGCAGACTCTGGCTTCTTTGTTCTTACAAAGCCAAAGCATCTGTTTTTTTTCTTTTTGGTTAGGAACCTGCATTGCTGCCTGCCTGTCTTTCAGATTGCCATTGTTGGATTCAGTGTCCATGTGTCTGGCAACTCAAGGCTCTCCTCCTTGGGAAAAGCATGCCAAATGCCACCATCCACTGTGCTTGTCTGTGTTTCCTTTTTTATTCCTAATACTTCTGATTTCAATTCACTATTGTTTTCCTTCTGTCTGTTGAGCTTTTTATGAGTAGAACAGGTATGCTAGCTAAGAATCCCCTCTGCAATGTGGTCTTACCATCAGGTATGGGGGCACCCAGTAGCATTGGCAATAGACTGTAATGGCTGGGGAGTCTTTGTGACTCGTTTGGCCAATAACTCAAAAATATGCAACTCATTCCTGATACTGGGCATTTTATGTCACAGTATATGGTGCCTACTAGGGGCATTGTCTCTTTGTTTAATTTCCACTTACTTTGTTCATATTCTTTCTCCTCTCCCAACTCCTCTCAGGTCCCTCTCCCTACCTATCTCCAACTTTATATTCTTTCTATCTTGAAAAATGTCCCAAACCAGGACAAAAAAGAACAAAGCAAACCAAAAACGAAAACAAATATGGAATCTATTTTGTGTTGGCAATTACTCTTGAGCATGAGACTTGCCCTGGGGTGAAGTTGATATGCCTAGTTCTGTTCTGTTGAAGAAAAGTGATTTTCACTTTCCACCAGCTGTCAATTGCAAACAGCTTCTTTGTTGGAGATGGGACTTTATGTCCACTCCCACTTCTCCATGCTGGGGTGCTGTTGGGTTTGAACCCGTGCAGATCCGGTGCCTGCTGCCATAATCTCTGAGTTCATATGAGTATCAATCCTACTGTGCCTGGCAAACACTACTTCCTTGACATCACCCACCAATTGTGACTCTCACAGTCTTTCACTGCCTCCTCTGCAGAGGTCCCAGAGCCTTGAGGGCAAGGATGTGACACAGACATCTCATTTCAGACTGAATGCTCCAAGGTCTCTCCCTCCATATCCACTCATGGGACTCTGTGTAAACCCCTGTCTACTGCAAGAAGAAGATCCTCTGGTGAGGGCCGAGCAAGGCACCGATCTACGGGGTGTAGCAATATGGTGTCAGAAGTCATTTTATTGCTATGTTCATTTAGCAGAATAATTCTAGTAGGTTTTCCCTAGGACCCATGGTCTATCTAGCCTCAGATTCTCAGCCTCGTTAGCAGTATCAGGTATGGAGTGACCTTAAATCCAACAAAATGCAGCTGGTTACTCCAACAACATTTGTGCCACCACTGCGCCCGTACATCAGGCTGTTATTGTAGCTTGCAGCCTTCATAACTGGGTGAGACTGGTAAGTATTTTTCTCCTCTAGCAGTATTATGATTCGCCCAGCACTATGGGTGCTAGTCAGTAGGGGTGAGACTTCTTCATGCTCGGTGGCTCAATTATGTGATATCTTCACCAATCGGGTCTTACTGGGAGGGTATGTAGGAGAGGAAAGAATATGCCCAAACGTGTTACATTAAAAGAATTGTGAAGAAAAGTGAAAGAATATCCATTGGCTACGTCCTTCTGAGAATACCTTTATTTCCATTTCAGTCTCCATAACTTATTTTGCTGATCACAGGGTTCTGGGCTGAGAGTAAAAGCTTGCTTTTGTACTTAAGATTCGCCCTGCCACTTCCTGGTGGCTCCAATTCTTTTGGTGAAAAATTTAGAGTTACTTAAATACTAACTTTCCACTTTCTCCTGTTTTCATGGTTTCTTGGGAAAGAACCAATCAGCAGAAGGGAAGCAGTGGGCTGGCACCATGGGCCAGCAGACTAGGGCGAGCTGTCCCCTGATCGCCACATTGGAACCTTGGTACCGTGCACCCCACAACACACCACATAACTAAATATACCAAAAATTTCTGTAAAGCCAGAAATCATTCACATGTTTCATTGTCTTACCAGAGAGAGAAAGAGAGACAGAGATGATCCAGTTCATCTAAAATGTTCAAATGTCCATGGGACCATGAGGGAGAGATAGTTTCTTCTAGAAAACCCTTGTTGTATTATGTGGTCAGAGACAACCATGAGGAGTTCCAGAAACCTCCAGTGACTTCTTTCTGTGTGTGCATACAAAGGTTTAGTTTCCTGGTAGAGACAGCAGACTCCAGATTTGTCATTTCCCTTTAGCCTCACTGAATATAAGAACAGTGGTGTGTGTGTGTGTGTGTGTGTGTGTGTGGTGTATGTAGGTATATGTGTGTATGTACATGTGTGTTTATGTGCATATGTACATGTGCATGCATATACTATGTGTACATATATGTGTGTATTTGTGTGTAAGCATGTGAGTGTATTGTGTACATATGTGCTGTACAGTGGTTTGCAGGTACTCCAGCTTCATGGTGCTAGACATATGGTCTGTGCATGGAGAATACACACTGTGAATAGCATTTTTAATTCATGTGTACTGTTTTATTATCTAGTGAATTTTAAATTAACAAGGATCTTCTCCAGAGTTTCCTAAATTAAAAGATTCACATGGTGTTTTAACTTATTTGGTTCCCAAAATGCACATTTAATTTTACTTTTTCCTGACTATTTCTTCCCTTCTCACCATTCTTAAATAAGAAAATTGTGCTTTTCTTCAAAATGGAAAATGTCCTGGTCCCCTTTTAAAAGGAGGCTCATCATCGCACCCCCCCCCCACTTTGAGATCTGGTGTTTGCCTCTTCCCCTTCATCAGGCCACTTAGTAGTAGGGACTGCTCTTCGGGGTCCTTATACCATCATGTGACATCCCCGTGCCATAGGTATGCGCTCTGGAATAAATTTAATATGCCATTTAAACCCACACTATCGAAGTATTCATGAGCAGTGAGTGTTCGCTCAGACTGTGTGTGTAGGGGGAGATGGGGAGGCCGTGGCTCCCTGCGAGGGTCAGGGAAGAACAGCCACACATCTAGGGGTAGGGGAGGTAGCTCTGGGTTCTCAGATGGTAAATGTCAATATTTCCCAGAATTCAAATTTAACATTCAGAACAAATCTAACTTCTGTCACATCTTTATGGAGCAGTGACAAATTCCTTATTTAGTCTTTTCTAATGTTCAGCCCTCAGACAGTAGCTTCTGCTTCTCTGTCACCTGCCCCTGGCAACGCTCGGCATGGAGGCTTCAGCTCTGCCAGACAAGGGCCTCTCACGATCAGCTGTATCTGGTGAAGTCGTGCCACAAAGAGATCTTGGCTGTGTGGCCCAGTAAATGGCTCTCTCTTATGTTGCCACATGCACAGATGACAACATGGTTTGAACCGGGGCTCTCAGAAACCATCCGTGACACAGCTATTGCGAGCCAAAGGTTTTCTTGGAAAAGGTTGCACATGAAGAACTCCAAATCCTCTGCTCTGAATTGCACCCAAGTGCGTGCTGAGTGCAGGAGAAGCGGGGCTGGTGCCCAGAATCTAACACCTCTGTCAGGCAAGCTTTTCCCACAGAGGTTAGGGCAGAATGCACGGCTTTGTGTGAGCACCAGAATGTTGTAGAAGAAAAGCAAATGTGCCGGTTAGGTTTTGATTTTCATGTTCTAAAAGTGTAACATGGAGGGCTAGGAGTAGTTGTGTCTGCAAAGGAAAAGACAGATGTCCACAGTGGAGCCCACCCATACCCCTGTGGATTTCCCACTCTGTGGTATGTGTCCTGCCAATTCTACATTTTCTTAGCAGATAATATGGAGGAGGTATTAAAAGTTGGAATTAACTAGACTCAGCCTTGAGCTTCCTGTTTTACTAGCTATTCAGGAGCTTCGGTTTATCTGTGAACCCACATCCTCGTTTATAAAACAGGAGGAAGTCAGATAGATGGGTATGACAGGGTCCACCTGCAATCATAGTCCTCAGAAAACTGAGCAAGGCGGTCAGATCTCAAGCTGGAGGCCAACCTGGATTATATAGCGAGGCACGGTCTCAAAGAACTAAAATCAAACACAACTGGAGAAACTCAAGCTTGAAATTATTACAATGATAATGAGAAAACCCGTAGGGGTTATTATGGCCATCATAAGTTAGTATTTCCCCTTGAGTCTGTTTCTGTGTTCACACACACACACACACACACACACACACACACACACACACACGTGCAAGTGAAGTCAGAAGACAATGTCCAGTGTCTCCTCGATTGCTCTCTACCTTAGTCTTTGAGACCAGGGTCTCTTTCTGATCCTTGATTTTGCCAGTCTGAGTTAGACGAGCCAGCCATCAGGTTCCAGAGATCTTTCTGACTCTGTCTCCTTAGCATTGGGATTATGGATACATGCTGCCATGTCAGGCTGTATGCATGCATGGGCTAGTGCATGCATGCATGGGTAAGTACGTGCATGCATGGGTGAGTGTGTGCATGTGTGTCTATGTGGTGTGTGTGTGTGTGTGTGCGTACTGAAATATAAAGTCAGGGACGTTGGCTGTCACAGCACTGTATTGACTGAATGATCTCCGCAATCCTCTCCACTTTACTTTCTGAGATAAAGTCTCTCACTGGAACTGGAGTCTCCAAGTCCTCTAGACTGGCTAGCCAACAAGCCCCAGAGATTCCCCTGTCTCCACTTGCCTAGCACTGACTTCAGGAGCACATCACAGTACCCAGCTTTTTACAGGGGTGCTTCTTGGGGGACTGAACCCAGGTTCACATGCTCACACGCTAAGCCCTTTTCCAATGAAGCCATCTCCTTAGTCTGTGAGTCCTTGCTTAGAATAACCCTGAGCTCCAGCAAGACAGCTCAGCAATAAAGGTGGGTTCATCAAATGTGAACACCTAGATTCCATTCCTGAACCCACACGGTGGAAGAAGAAAGGCAACTCCCAAAAGTTGTTGTTGGCCCTACACATGTGCTGTAACATGCATGCACTTGTGTGTGCCCCCACATGCTTATAAACAACAAATAAATAAAACTACAACTAAAATACTTTAAAAGGTTTTGAAAGCTATATGCTCTAAATATTCTATGATAATAACTGCTAGTAATAACAATGAGCATTTATTACGGTAAACATTTATTGAATGCTTACAGTGTACCGAATGAACCCTTTTCATACTTTCTTTGGTGTGTGGTTATCATAGCAGAACAAGTCCCAAACATAGTGACTGTGACTAAGCAAAGGCTAAGAGCATGTGATTAGCGGAATCTCTATTTCTTTGAGGGTAAATTTGTGGCTCGTGATGACTGACTCACTCATGTTTCATTTCACTCACTCCATATCAAAATTCACACATTGAGATTTGCAAATAAAGACCCTGCCCATGCTCTCTGAAGGTGGAACACAACTCTCTCCAGGTCACTGGTATCTCTGTCCTGAGTGCTTGAATATATTTTGATCAGTAGTTCTTAACAGGAGATGATTTTGCCATAGGGGTGGCAGATATTTGGCAATGTCCAGAGGCAATGTTGGTTGTTACTATGACTGGAGCTACTGGCATCTATAGATCGTAGGACTGAGGTGCCACTCATTGTCCCTCCAGGTCTGGGACACACTGTGAATGGAAGCATGTGTCTGAGCAAAAGAGTCACATCTCAAACTAAAGATGAGAGGGAGCAGATGGGGAGCGAGAGGAAGAGAGGGAGGAAAGGATGATGTCCGACCATCCAGTCACATTGAAGCGTGACCCCAATGACCTGAGAACCTCCCAACAGCACCACCCAGAACCAAAACTTTTAACTCATGGGTCTTTGAGGGACAATCACAATCCATACTATAGCAACATTTACTGGCCGTAGATCACCCCCCTTCCATGTCCTCCCGCAGGCTACTTTCCTGGGACAGCCGACCTGGCCAGACAAAAGGGGGATGGCACAGTGTTATCCACAGCTCAGTACTCCCCGTGCTCCAGAAGCTACTTCATGCTCCATGTTTTGTGTCTGAGATATTCTCTAACCTTCTTTTTATTTTATTTTTCCAAATCATTGATGTTTGAAAGAGATCCTTAATGTTGCCAAGACAATAGTTTACTCTTCACAAACTGAGAGCAGGGCCCCATTGCTGCAGACAAAACCCACACAATTCATTGTACATGGAGAGGTTGAGCTGGCGCCTACATAGAACCTTCATTCCCATGTTCTATTGTGCACGACGTGGAAAGGAACCCTACAGGCTACCAAAATAGAAAAGTAAATACCAATCCAGCCACAAAACCTTTGATCTACAATCTGTCCTGTCTGCAAAATTGACTAGTGGCACAAATCTTGTGGGTGTAACCAGCCGATGTCTGATTTGACTTACGGCCAACTCCATGAGACGGATCCTGTTCCTGACACTGCTTGGGTGAACAAGAACCACCAAGAATCAGAGTCTAGATATCCCAGAGATCTCAGGTCTGCTACTTGTCTGGAAAAAGAAGTAACAATAAAATTACTCCTAACGACATTCTCCTATATTCATAGATTGGTGCCATATCCATCATCAGCCTCTTCCACCTGCAGCAGACGGGATCAAATACAGAGGTCCATTCCAGACGCTACTCACAGAGAGAGACCTTGGAACACACAACTCTAAACAAGATGTCTCCATCAAAGCCATCCTCTTAGGGCTCAGGAAATGAAGCAGAAGGGGGAGCAGAAAGACTGGGGAAGACAGAGGGGATGGAGGACACCAGGAGAACAAGGCCCTCTAAAACAACTGAGCAAATCTTATATGAAATTACAGAGATAGAAGCAGTAAGAACATGGCCTAAACAGGCTTGTATATTATAACCTTCAGTTTAGTAATGTTCTGGAGCTCCTGAGTGTGCAAATGAGGGGGGTCTATGATTCTTGTGCCTTCTCTTGGGGCTCTTCTGTTTTTCTGTTGGCTTGGTTTGTCCAACTTCAATACAATGGTTTTTGTTTTATCTTTTATATTTTACTTTGCTCTGTTTTGTTGTTCTCGCCTACAGGCCTGTTCTTTTCTAAAGAGAGACAGAAAGGGTATGGATCCAGATGGGAGAGGAGATAGGGAGCAGCTGGGAGGAGTAGAGGGAGGGAAAACTGTATTCATACCATATTGTATGACTAAAGAATCTATGTTTAATAAAGAGGGGAAAAGCCGGGCGGTGGTGGCGCACGCCTTTAATCCCAGCACTCGGGAGGCAGAGGCAGGCAGATCTCTGTGAGTTCGAGGCTGGGCTGGACCGACAGCCTCCAAAACAATACAGAGAAACCCTGTCTCGTAAAAAAACAAACAAACAAACAAACAAATAAATAAATAGGGGAAAATACCAAAAGAGAGAGGTCATTAAAATTTCTAGCACAGGACACAGAATAAAGAAGTAAATTCAATAACAGAAAGACTTTTACCAAGTCAACATTTCTAAAGAAATTCTGAACTCTCCGCATTTGTATTTCTTGGCAAGGCTACTGTTTACTTTTTCCTGTTAGGAATCACTAATCTAGCATAGATAGCCAGAGCCAAGCCAAAAAAAAATGCCAAACAAACAAATAAACAAAAACAAGTAAAAAAAAACACAAAACTTTGATTTCTTTGCTAGGGGGAGCAATGGTGAAGGAAGGGATCTAGAGAGACCAGAGAAGTTATAAAGGTGTTTGGTTCACATTACATTCTTAAGTGAAGAGGCTGGGGAGATTTCTCAGTGGTTAGAGCACCGGCTGCTCTTGCAGAGGGCCTGGGTTTGCTTCCCAGCACCCACATGATGGCTCATACTCATTTGTCACTACAGTCCCAGGAGACCCTATGTCCTCTTCTGGCCTCCAAAGTCACCAAGCACACACATGGTGCACAAACATGCACGCAGGCAAAATACTCATGCACACACAATAAAAAAATTATAATAAGTACAATTCTGATTAACAAATGGAAAACTATGGGTACGCGTTAGGACATAGTATGGAAGAAGTTGAGGTAGATAGAAGGAGACTGGATGACAAGGACAAGAGCAGCCAAGGAAGAGGTTCAAAGGGAGGGGAAGGCTCGGGGGCAGATGAAGTGGTGGCCTCTGCCTCCCCCAAAGCTTCGCTCATTCTTTTTCTTGGCAAAAGGTGCCAGACTTTATGGTGGGAGTTTAACAGTATGAAACCAGACAAATCTCTTTTTAATGACTCAGCATTCTATTATTCTTTCTTGCCTACAGGAAGTAGGCTGGCCCTTCTCTTATTTGCCGAACGGTCCCACTTCTCCTCCTTTACAGAACGCCATCGTACATGACTAAAACCTGAACGCAGCTGTCACCTCAAGCTCTGGTCACCTTAGCCAACAAGCCGACTGTGGGTTTGGTCAGCTGTGCATGAGGAGAGGGTAAGTGTGTGTGAAACTAGCTATCATTTTTTATTTTGGGATTAAAACTTGCAAGAAAGCAATTATTATATTGCAAACAATTATTTTTTGCTTACACTGGAAGACATTTCTCATATTTGGAGCTTAGTTACTAGGTGTAAAAATTCCTGGTAAATTATTTGCTCCTGTTTCCTGTTGGACAGTAAATATTTGAATACTCATAATTCCCTCATTAAGGGCTTTTTCTACTAGTGTTTATATCACCAAGTGGTTCCAAAACAATCCATAGCTTGGCTCTTGTATGGAGTTACAGCTTCTGAAAGAGATGACACAGGGATGAGACAGCCCTTTGAAGAGGAAAAAAAATGGTTTGCAGTATCCTATAATCACTGTGTGGGGAATTGTGATATGCTTCCAAAAAAGAATTCTGTTCTTCTGAAACTAAGGATGACTCTTATTTCTTTCACCCCCAGACATGTGCCAGTAGCCTAAGATAAGCTAAGATTATCACTTGTCACCATTGCATTCCTCAAACTGTGAAACACCAATGTAATAAAAACACGGCAGTAATAGTAATAACGAGTATAGATGTGATATGGAGTAATAGTGATCAGGAGCATAGGTGTGATATGGAGTAATACTGATAAAGAGCATGAGCAGCATAGCATTGTTCCAATCAACAAGAGACAACATGCACAGTGACGGGCTTCTAAGATTATATTGGAACTGAAAAATTCTTGCAGCCTAGTGACGTTAATATTGCAGTACAATGCATCACACGCATTTTTGACCACGCTTGTGTGAACAAAATCACCACTCTGGCAGTTATTCAAATGTACGTGATGAAAACTGGATGCATCCACAATCCTTGATAACGGTAACGTCCATCATTTCAGGGAAGCCACGACAGGAACTCACACAGCCAGCCACATCTTGTCCACCCGCCGCAGAAAGCAGACTGACCCCATTCACCCGTGCTGCCTGACTTCATGTGCTCAGCTCGCTTCTTTCACTCCTATACATCTCATGCCAAAGCCTAAGAAATGGCACCACTTGTGTTCAGGGTGGATCCTCCCCCTCTGTTAGTAATCAAGAAAGTACCCCACAGACATGCCCATCGGCCAACCTGTTCTAGATCATTCCCTGTGAAGACACTCTTCCAGGGTGATTCTAGGCTGTGTTGTGCAGCTACAACTAGCCAGCATAATTTCTTTTATTTAGGATGGAAAAACTAAAAGCTTACTGTAAACATGCTGCCTTGTGACACTCCAGCAGACTCTTTCATCCTGTGTTTATGTTTACAGCGTGTGTTGATAGCATCATTCTCTGGTGCTTGATTTAATCTCATGTTTGGTTCATCATGGACCCTAAATAGAAAAATCCACTGCTAATGCTGCTAGCAAGAGGTCACATGGACTAATTGACCTGGAAATGAAATTTAAAGTGATTAAGGGCTATGAACGTGGAAAATCAATGATGGTTATTGCGCTCCAGTCAAGCATGCCCCAGTTCATAGCTACGATCTTGAAAAATGTGAACAAAGGGATCGAAGCCATTTAAGAATCTGATTTGTGGATGGCAGTGGAGATGGGGAGCTTGGCCTGGTACTCTCAGCACTCAGGAGACAGAAGCAAGAGGATCAGAAGTCTAGAGTCATCTTTGGCTACATGACGAGTTCAAGGCCAACCTGGACTCTCCAAAACACTATTTCCAAAAACTAAAAACTACATAGATGAGGTTGTATAAAATTTGGGAAAGCCCTCCATTGGCTTGGATTGGAGACCACACAGAACTACAGCTCTCCTACCAGGGCCAATTGCTATGTTGAAACTGGACCCACCTACAGTGTTGAGGTTCCAAGGGCTGCAAGCTAATCAAGGAATGTTATGACAGGAGTGTTATTTGTTACTCGGCGTTGGGATGAGCAGTGAGTTTCCCAGAGCTGGTGACTCTTGGACACCCCAGGCAAGCGGACTGTGGAAGGGAACGACTTCAGTATGGATGATGCCTCTCTGTTCTGGAAATGGAGGCCTGGAAGCAGATCGGTCTCCAGGGAGATAGAGTTGGTGGCCTCTTCAAGGCTCAAAGGCATTGGAAGAGTCTTTCATAACAGCCGTGTTGTTATAAGGTGCAAATCAAGGCCCTTTGTGATCTGGCATGGTGAGGATACCAGGACCTTGCAGCATGACCTTCCAGTGTGTCAGTAGACACACTACTGGTGACCTGCAGGAGCAGAAAGAGATCAAATGCAATCCAACCCCTCTTCCAGCTGCCCCACCCAATCACTCAGCCAGAAAAACAAGACCATTTGGAGAACATAGTGTTTGATATTCTGTGTGTATAGATGTGTGTACACAAGTTGACTCCATGATGTCCCTTCAAGGGAGTAACTGTCTGATGATGCATTTCCAATTCAGCAACATGTGATTATACTCTTGCCTCGCTCCAACCACTATTCCAAGTGTCTCTCCACACCTGTGAGGTTGGGACTCTCAGTCCCATTTTACAGGTGAGCAAACTGAGTCACGGGGCAGGGGTGGAGGGGTGTTAATTCATGGCCAATCAAGGCCTGAACTCAGAAAGTCTAGTTACATACACTCGTGATCACAGTGTCTTCCCTCTGAAGTTTGCCAGCAAGCCTAACCACTAGTTTAGAAACTGCCAGAGGCATGCTTAAGCTCACTTTTAGGGGTTTGAGAGTCCCAACTTTCACTCAGCCACATTGTGCGGGCTTGCTTCCCAGCGGCTGCACACCTCTTAAATCTTTATAACTGAGACGTTCACTTGAATCAGTCACTCTCAACACCCCCCCAGCACTTTGGCCCTGAATGACTCCATGCTAGGCTCGCGGCCATGCAAAGTCTGTACTGCACGAGCTGAGATACCTTCGTTTCTTCCGTCCCCACCCATCTGCGGCCTTTGTCCAGTCTTCATAGTGCTGCTTGGGCTCGGTGAGTCTCTCAGAGATGAAGCCTGGCTCATTTGCCAGGGCTTGTTTGCAAAGGCCAGTGCTGTTTTTAGCACAGTGCCCTGCTCAGATACTCCCCAGAGATCAGAGGAAGAGGCGTGGGCCTGGAAATTTTTCTCTACACATCACCAATCTGAGGTATAATCTGTAAGCGCGCATACACAATGCATCCAGCGGTTACAGGTTTCTTTCCCATACTTCTGGAATGTGGAGCTGGGAAAAATATTCAGAACCTGAACTGGGCTCTGACCTCCGAAGCAGAGATTTCAGGTGAGCACTGGATGTGCAGAGCGGAGGAGGCAGTGACCTTTGTGATTTGCAGTGTTTTCATTCTGCAGCTTGCACGGCAGGGACCCTGACATCAGAAGCTCTTACGGCCTGAGGCTGTGTTGGAGAGAAAAAGAAATAAAGACAGCCTGCCCTACTTCCAACTTGTGTAGTAATCCTTGTGCAGTAAGGAACCTGGGCCAGCAAAGACTGTGTGGATGAGTGACCTCTAGTGACTGCATTTGGGAAGTGCTTCCCTGCTTTGAAGGCTGCAAGATGGGTTTTGTGTGTCCACACTATACGCATCTGCTCTTCGTGGTAGGAGGATTTAGAGGAAATATAAACAGGCAGACTTAAGGAGCTTATCCCCCAGCCTGAGGAAGTCAGGAGAACATACAGTTTCTCTATTGAGTTGATTATATAGGAGCTTCCAAGGGTGCAAAGTAGGTAACTTGGGAAGCTGAACTTGGGGGACAAAGGAGCAATCGGAAGGTCATCATTACATAGGAGAGTAGTCCACAGCAGGCAGGAGAGGGAAAAAATCCCTGGTGACGTGAAACAGATTTCAAGTGAAAAGGATCAAGTTTTCTGAGGTATCTTGGGTTGCCTGTAAAGTTTGGGAACAGGGAATAGAAGATCAGTTCTCTCTCTCTCTCTCTCTCTCTCTCTCTCTCTCTCTCTCTCTCTCTCTCTCTCTCTCTCTCTCTCTCTCTGTGTGTGTGTGTGTGTGTGTGTGTACATGTGTGTGCATGCTCACACATATGGGTAGTCCATGACACGTTCATGGAAGTCAGAAGACAAATTACAGGAGTTGGTTCTCTTCATCCAGCAGTAAATCTGGGAAATTGAACTCAAGTCATCAGGCTTGAGGACCAGTGCCTTTACCCGCAGAGCCACCTGTCTCTTCCCCTTGGGCTCTTGGTGAAACACCCTCCTTGGATCTTCACTGTGCAAAACTATCTTGCCTCCTAGCCTGGGCAGCTCCTTTGTCCCAAAAGTATGTGTGACACATTACGTTCCAGTGACAATATCAGGAGTGGTAAGCTCAACCCCACCAGGGCCGAAGAGTTAACACAGATGCATGAGACAGACCACAAGGAGGATTCAGGTATTTCAAGGATGTGAATTTTAATTTTCATCTCTTAGTGACACTGGCCAGTCTAGAGTAATGGGCACAAATGGGAGAAGTAGAGGCAGAATGGCAAAAAAAAAAAAGGATTGAAACCTGCATGGGGCGTGTCCCCACCGACTTTACAGCTGGAAGAGGCAAGAACAAAGACACTTGGTTCAGTTTGATTGGTAGCCATTATTAGTTCAAACCTCAAGAGTCAGACACCACTTGGTTTATTTTAACCACATTCAGCACAGCACAGTTGGGGGGGGGATTATGATAACAACGAACTCAGTCTCAACTGTACAACAAATTTAGACGTGTTTGCACTGAGAGTCTTTACAAAGTACATCTGGCTTCTTTCACAAATGCGGGTGCTGTTGCTCAGAGATGGTACCCAGGATTTGGGGTCTAGGGAGAGTGACCGAGGTAAACATGATGCCTGTGGGTGTCAGGGTTGTTGGCTTGACCCTAAGATAGGATAGAAGCCACTTAGGCTATTATTGAGTACAGTGACATCACTCATAACGATGATTTTTCATGGCTTAGAATGACTAAGATTTGGAGAGAAATGGTCTGGGATAAGCAAATCATAAATTCTGGGGCATATTGGGGAACCCTTGCTCAGCAGATAACAAAGGGTCACCAGGCTGTAAACAACATTCTTCC